AGCCCTGTCAAACTAAAAACATCGGCCCAGCCTTTTGAAATTCTCCTTCTATCTCGACCTATCTCAACCTTAAGACACACCTGTTGGTGAATTTTGTGTTTATACGAGAAGATGGGCTGACCCGCTTGCCGAGATCTCGGCTCGAGCAACCGGGATCTCGTCCTCTCATATGTATTTAGCTTAACAGTTAGCTAATTGGGGACACTTCCCTACGTGCTGGCGCGCTAATCTATTAAATGACTTTTTAATTAATGATCTTACCTAAAATCTAAAACTATATACAAATGTCCACGACTCAAAAATTTACACAGGTCACAGCAGTTACTGTTATCATCTATATGGTTCAAAAGGTCCACACCGCGTATATGTTTCTTAAATGCTTTGAGGCTTGTCAAGTTTCTGAGCTCACTACTGACCTTTGACGAAATGAAAGGTCATTGGTAGCGCAGGGAATGCCTCCCATAAGGCCACTTTATCAAATCGGGGTAGTTCAAAATCACAGTTTCTTAGGCTTTGGTGTGTTCTCTTGATCGTAAATAACTCAGATACACACCTGTGCGCCATCCTGTATTTTATTTTATACATCAGTATTGCAATGTCTTGTAAACGCCTGTTATAAAGCGTAGGCAGCTTGGCGCGAGTGACGAGTTCCTCGTACGTCTCAGTTTGAGACATACACTGCGCGCAGCGCACGCTCTTGGATGCGCTCGATTTTTCTGCTATCAGATGATTTGCAGATTTTCCATACTGAATGACAGAAAGTTAATTATGGCAAGATGGACTTCTTGTGTAACATTTACTTCGCGTTACAAGGTATTAAATTTCGCAGACGTACAAGCATTCCTTCTTTGTGACCAGCTCTAGTACATAACTCGCTAATGACCTGCAGAGTTAAGATTCTCGTCAATGTAGACTCCTAGTAATTTCATTTGCTCTGTTTTCCTGATGTCATGATTATCAATGTTCAAAGTTTTATCGTCATTTTCCGCATCGATATTCCTGGGATTGACGGTTAAGGACTGGAACGGCTCCAGGTTAGCAAGTAGAAAGTTGCTTTATATCAAGACGACGCTAAAACAGACCCTTAGTATGCATTGTTTCTTCCTCCTTCTAGAGTTCAACAGAGTACTTGATAATGGCATCATTATCAAAGATCTTCGCTGCCACAGCCACGTATCCGTATCAAGTAGTCAGATCAAGACTTCAGGTAAACAGACCTCCTACTTTTTATCTCTTAGTGTAAGGTTATGTCCACAAGGTTAATTCCAACAGGAACTTTTCAGCTAGTGATTCACGTGGTACAAAACCACCATGCTGGAGAGTAAGAGACACACTGAGACAAGACAAANCCCCCCCCCCCCCCCCCCCTGAGATGACCTGCGGTTTTCTAATACAACTGGTATTCTGGAAAATAAATAAATAAATAAATAAATAAACTATGTGGTTTATTGGTGTTGAAGTAGAGCAAGAGACGAGTGCACCCGCTCCTAAAAAAAATCCTGGATCCGCCCTTGTAATCCCCTTTGTTTGTCTTCTCCCAGTGCGATTCTTGCTCTCCAGCATTACGTTTTTTTTGTTGTTGTTGTTTTATTTTTTTGGCAGTACTTGAATGGCTAGCTGCAAAGAGCCTATTAAGTTATGAACGCATACAAACTTACAGCGGTTTTTCCTAGCGACGGAGTCTGGGTTGAAGTCGTAAGAGCAGTCGTTAAAAGGCCTACAACCCATCAAAACTCGGAGTCGTAAGCAGAGTCAAACGCGCGAGGGAGTTGTAATCAGGACGTTACCTTTTTGTTCCGACTCTACCTACTATGACAGCAGCATGCCCAGCCACCCATTGTTTCCTACTCTTTCCAAAACAAAAGAAAGCTCTGTGCGCCTGCGAGTTTCAAGTAGCCAACTCCATATGGGTTACTACTACTCTTTATTAAAAACAACGTAGCAATCTAACGTTAAGTTCTTTTTTTATGCTTATGTTATTATTGTATACAGAATTTAAAGTTTTGTACTCTTTTGGCTTTTTAATTGATTTTAAATTTTTGCCAAATGTAAGTTTTAAATTAGTTTAGCTTGAATGTATTTTTGCTTAAACAAATAATGGAGACTAAAGACTTTTAAAAGACACCGTTGCTTACGATCTAATGCGAGAAACTAGATTGTCCGAAGATTTTAAAATCTTTAAAATGCGTTTTTATTCACCTTGAAACGGCTAGTTGTGGGGCAAGTGTCAAGAAAAAGTTCATCCGAGTAATTTTTTTTTAATACAAAGTAAAAAAAAATTCAGTTCTTAAAGCTCCCGTTTCTTTTATACAGTTTTAAGCTAAGTTATTCATCAGAGCTCATTTCCTTTATCGCAATGTTTTTTTGGTTTGTTTTGTTTTGTTTTTCGCCCCACGTAAGGGAATCCAGGACATTCTTGCATTCTGGATTCCACGCAGTGGATTCCGGATTCCGGGTACTGGATTCCGGATTCCAAAAAGGACTGTATTCCAATTTTTTACTGTTTTAATGATTTTCTTTGCATTTCATTTTCGTGTTCGAATCTTGCTATATTGAAAGACGTTGTTAGAATGCATAACAAGTTTGTTTTCTTTTTCGATTTATAAATTACGGGTTGAATGTATTACAGTTCTGTAAGGGTTTATGGTATAATAAGGAGGGGGATATTGGGGGACTGTCCACACCGCAACACCGCGGAAACTGAAAATAACAAAAACCCGCATCACCGCAAAAATTTGTGGCGAAACACCGACATCGCAATTTTGAATTTTGTCCTTCAATTAATCTAATCCAAATCTCCATATAATTAAGGATTGAGGATCTCGGAGCTGGTTAGCGATTAGTAGAGAGTGAGACTGACCTCAAGACTTTATTTTTTACTTACTCTATTTTTGCGAGCTCTATTTTCAGTCATGCAGATAGAAAAATGCTTAATTAACAGAAACAAAAGAATCCTTGCAAATCATTCCTAAATATATTCACGTTTATTCATTTGATTGCTGCATAATAAAGTATAAATGGGAAAAGGTACAGCCATTGCCAGGGAAAATTGAGCTGCAATTTGCAAGAAAGCGGCGTAACAAAGTTCGTGTGTACCTCCAAATCAATTTTTCCTATCTATGCCATATCATAAACCAGCGCAGGTTAATCAAGTCTTTTGCTATCCACTAATAATATAATAGAACGTTCATTTTGTTTGTATGTCGTTACATTCGTAGTTTTCCTTGTCCTATCCGAACGCCTGGAACAGGCTACGTCGAAACATGTTTGCAAATTCTTTTGGAACATTAAAACAGTATTTCGAAGTAATAGAATAAATATATTGAACAAAACGGGATAAGCATATATGCTCAGTAAAAGATTGACAATCAAAAAGAGCACTACAGGAGATTAAATTGGACTCCAAGCTAACAAAAGTGTTGTCCAGGTCAGCGCGGCCCTTAAGTGACTAAAGTTGTGTGTCACATAATTTTCTGAGAATGATAACATGGCTTAAAATAAATTTCGGACAGTGGCCGGACCACGTTGATCGACCAAATAAATTTTTACGCTGTCACGTCTCGACGTTTTTGACTGGTCAAAATAAAGAAAAAAAGTCAACTTCTTGACGGTCGGCAAGCCCAAAAGTATGAGTTACTTGGTCTAGTCGTTGCTGAACCATTTAAGGTGGCTGGACACAGCTTTGGCAGTTTGTGAGTAATGTTATTTGCCAAAATCAAGGCAAGAGAAAGGTTGCAGCTCACAAGCTGAAACTTGGCAAGTAAAAAAAATGCTGATGAAAGAGTTTGACTGACAGGTCAAATGTGACGTTTTCGTGGTTTCCATGGCAACATGAACGATTGAATACAACCTGTGACTTGCTTGCCAACACGTTCAGTACAGTCCACAGATCGACACAAACGAAAAATCATGCAGCTTTGCCTTTGGCACGTTTAGATCTATCGCAGTCAGCTAAAAATTGGTATGATTTCACAACACAGTATTACAGGTACCTTTCTCTCCCAGCCTTCTGTTTTTTCTTGTGCTTTCCCATAACGTCTTTTTTTTAAAAAAAAAAAAAAAAACGTAGAAAAGAAAAATCCAACAAACAACAGACGACAAACTGTTCTGATCGAAGAGGTGGCGAGATTTCACTCGAATGCAAGGGGGATGAATGAAAAAGGCACCCACCGCGTCCTTGCACGTGATTACTTTAGTGACAGCTGATTGGTACGGTTCTGACAGTCTCTGACTTATTTGTCAAATAAAGATTATCGAAACCATGAAACTGTTCGCAGCGAAACTTCTAGGACCAAATTAGGCACTAGGAGACTGTGAATTTCTTTTTTTTTCTTTCTAGGTAAACTGTTGAACGTAGACGTTTATTTTCATTTTCAATTGCGAACCAGGAGGACCAGGAAGGATCAAGAAAAGGTTCACCGCAGGTGCACCTTTTCCAGTCCTATGCCAGGTCAAAAAGCTTGCATAAAATCGCTTTTGATTTTTTAAAGTTCAGCGAAGCAAGTGAACAACAGAGAATCAAACATAGCCAGAGGTTGAAGTTATTCATAACAATTCAATTAATACCTTAAAAAGGCTGCGCTGTGTTCCCTTGAAAACACCCAAATTTTTTATCCTGCCAGCCGCTCGCTCATAACCAAGGGTTCCCTCGCTATTGTAGAATTTTAATCATGTGACCGTGACCTCGACCTTTCATATGGAGCTCGTGAACCATTGTTTTGACACCAGATATGCTGATATTATGTCATCACATTCAGGTCTATACCCTGGGGAGGCTTTCCATAGATGATTTTTCTTTCGAGCGAGTAGCTCAATCCAATCTGGAGTGGATCTTTAGTAAGTTGGATTCCAGATTCCAATCTTTAGTAGGATTCCGGATTCTTAGTGCTGGATTCCGGATTCCAAAGCCCAGGATTCCGGATTCCAGAAGCAAAAAAATGCCTGGATTCCGGAATCCGGATTCCCTTACATAGGGCGATGTTTTGTAGAATCAATACACGATGGCCGAATACAATGGAGCAGTGGACGTTATCCGTAAAACGTTCAGGTGAGATGAGGAACCCGCTGCATCGATTTTATTTTTTGTTGAAAGGAGTTTGTGAAAGTGAAATTTTCCAGCGCTCTAAGATTTATACCTTAAACAGTCGCCTTCTGACGTTAGCTTTTTTGTCGACTTTCTAGATACGAAGGAGTGAGAGGATTTTATAAAGGATTGGTTCCTAATGTTCTCAGGTAAGATCCCCAACAAAAGAGCTCCTAGGTTTTAACCTGTCTGGATGACAGTGACTAATTGGCAGGCCCTAGTTATTCAAAAGGTAGCTAACGCTATCCACTGCATAAATGACTATCCAGCGGATAACGCAGTTGGTATCCATAAAACGTATCCACACTGAATAGTGATTTATCCGGTGGATTGCGCTAAAGAACATTTAATCAACCGGGGCCAGAACTGTTACGAAGATGTCGCGGTTAAAAGGACAACAGCACTTAGCCTCTTTAACAGTAAGCTCGGACTTCACACGTGAAAGATCAGTGAAGTTGTTTATGCAACTGTGCGTGAAAAAGCCAAACAAAAAAACAAACAAACCCGAAAGGTAGCATACGAGGACGTCACTGGCTGCCGCTATTGGTCTATTCATGAGCTTACTGTTATCCTCCCACCCCATACTATGTATGATTAGTGAAACAAAAGAGGCGGTAGACCACACCACCTGGGAAATATTTCCTGTTCTTTTTCAACAATAGTGGCAGTTGGTTGTTTTACAACACTATGCGAAAGTAATGATGTCAAACTTCTCCGAATTTCGTCAAAATTGACGAATTTCAAAGAGGGAATATCGGTAAAATTTCGGTGCATCTATTGTCGGCGAAATTTCGCGCAATGAGACGAAATGGGACGAAAATTCGGCTCAAAACGAAGGTTCAGTACCGTTCGTCCAATTTTGAAGAACTTTTAATGATAGGAAGGATGAAGGAAGTAAGGCCAAAGGCTTAGAAATAATGATAATTAGTTAAGAATTTATTACGCACAGATATCAATGTCACTATAATCAAATCCGCGATATTATGATTGCCTTTTCCGATTTTTAAGGCCACTTCCGGCGGATCATCTGGTCTGAGGCAAGGTCTTAAACAGACAGTAGAGTGGCATTTTCTTTTGATAATGAACTCTGTGACCGGCCGGGATTTAAACCCAACATGCCGCATACCATATGCTTTATTTGGCTGAAATAAGGCTCATACGAGAAACAGACAAACCAGGCAACGCACAAAAATAGGCATGGAAAGTTGAAGTGATAATAGAAAATGATAACTGTAGTTTGACCTGGATATAATGGTCACCCTCGACCGGTATTTAAGAGACTTGCCTCCTAATGAAGGTTGTCGCTCAATTAAACATCACAAAAATTACCCACTGGGTGTGGCCGTCGAAACGCAACTAACTGATAGTCTTCATAAAAGAGCACTTCATTCAATTCTTCATTCTATCAAACTGTAAAGCAATCAACGTCCGTTCAGGTGAACTATACCAGGGCGACCCTGATCTGTACTGATCTTTCACTTTCTATTCATTCAACAAAGTTGCTGACTTGTAACCGTAACGGGGAAATAAAGTCACCGTTATGATAAAGCACCATCCGTTATCCTGCCGGCCAACCAGACAGTGTTTGCGAGCCTTGACGCTCAAACCGAAATGTCTCATTCCTTCATTATTTTCTTACGTTTATGTGTGGCCGCTAGTGAATAAAGGCAAAAATAAGAAGAAGGGCAAAGCATGGGCTGCAAAGGGGTGATAGTAAAAGGCACGAGACAAACGTCGTTTGTGATTAAGTTTGTTTGTTTTTGTTTTTACAGAGTGACTCCAGCGTGTGCTCTGACATTCGTGGTATACGAAAACGTCATCCATTTTCTCATGCCGCCCAGCTAACTTGAATAGACCAATGACTGATACATTCTGCTGCTTGACACGTCTCTTACCCATTTACACTCTCATCAATATTTTTTAAGGTGGAACTGGGTTTCCTGTGTTTAAATTGAAAGAATTTCAAACGTGTGGCGTTTCTTCAATAACAGACGTAGCACAGCTTGATACATGTATATTAGAGAATATAACGACCAAGCCGAGGCTACTCCAGTTCTGTGCCGCCCTCCCATTCCCCAACGAGCTGCGCGAGGTTCTGCCAAACACGAATGTCTAGTTCTTCTCTTGTAACGCCTGCATGCCGTGGCGAATATACGGGCACACGCCCTTGCAAAAAAGATTATTTGTTGCAAGTTTTATAGTAATATAGCAAACCGAGGACTCTTTCACACCAATTCGTTATGATAAATCCTTAGTTTTCCTTAACTTTCGCTGGCAAAAACCCGTCAAGAGTTCTGTGCCTATAATTGCCTTTTAGGGCATTCTTGGACCTGCATTTTGTTTGCGAGCAAAGCTCTCCAGGGGATGCGGGGGTAGGGGAGGGAAAAGGGGAGGGAGAGCTTGCAATGACGTCTCATAAATTTGAATTCCGCCCCAAGAACCCCCTATGGCTTCTCTGGTGTTGAGCTGTCAAAAACTGACCAATCAGATCTTCCCCTTTCGATAGCGTTTTCCTAAACCTTCGTTTGACCTCTTCAGTGTGAACGCAAGGCCAAAACGCGTAAAAATATCTACCTTGTCAAACGAAAACGCATTAAAGTGGAACCTCGATTTAACGAAGGGCCAAGGGACTGACGACATTTGTTCGTTATAACGAGGTTTTGTTATTTTTCATTAGTATTCTACTATTATTGGGGTAAAGATAACCGTTTGTTATCTCGAGGACTTCATTTTGTAGTGGTTCCTTAAATTGCGATTCCACTGTATTATGCATAGGGTCTGTAAGACGAACTGAAAGATATATGAATTGCAGTTCAAAGTTGCAGCACGGTCATTGCTTTAAAAGTATGTCGATGTTCGCCAATAAAAGACGATGACATTGCTATGGAATTTTATCTCAAGAAGAATAAATTAAAGTTATCAGTTGAATATTTATATATAATTATATACAAAAATAGGGTTATAGTTTTTGTTAGAAGTTTTCCCAAGCCAACCGCGCGACTCCAGCAAAAAAAAGGGAAACAAGTCGTCTTGTACTTTGATCCGTCACTCTGCGTTCCTTACCTTGACTACAAAGAACGTAAATGTTAGGGTCTTAGGAAAGGCACGGTTTTAGGCTTATATGGTTTAGGGGTATAGCTTCCTATTAGGTAATACGCACGTGCATTCCCGCAAATGGTCAAAAATTTATATATACCAAAGTCAAAATAGGAAGCTATACGGAATAAAACTATTAAACAAAAAGGAAAAGTTGCTGAAAAAAGGCGCAAACGCCTATTTAACGCTGCTTTACCTTTGAATTCCCTAGGAAGCCTTTCCGCGATCGCACTCAAAGCTTTGTGATGTGAATGAACGCTTGGATGGCTTGCCATCTCGCGAGCCGTTGCTAAGTGATAACAAGCAACAGTTCTAAAAAGGGCCTATTCGTTTCAGGAAAATCAAGGCAAAGTCTACAAAAATTTAAAAATATAGTTATACCGGCTTTGAAACGCGGCGAGATCGATGTCGGCAGTTATCTTCAGAAAGACACTGCAAAGTCCCTTTTTCACTTACAAAACATAAGGTTCCTACTCTAAACGAATACAGCCATCGCTTTCATTTGCTTTTCACTACGACATTTCGTCCTTCTAAATCTTTCGACAGACTGAGCAGTCAAACGACTGTTTAACTGTGACAATAGACGGATCGAAATGCACCGATCACATTACGAGTCTTCATAGCCAATAACATCACGGCTTAACTGACATACGACCAATAAGATCAAGACTTAATTGACCAATCAAGTCAACATCCCGAGTTTAATACCTACAACTGACGTGATACAACTCACTTTGACTCTGAAGATGACTACCGCACAGGTTGTCGAAACCTCTGTCACTGTTAACAACAACAACAACAACAGTCCTATTCAGGACTTCGTTCACCCGGACGATCATCCATGTACTCAACCTTTAACTTATAAAATAACTCCTGGGTCATGATATCATAAAGAGATGATGTATCTGGCCGTGGTGTTTCAACTTTGAATAATCAATACTATATACAATGCTAGCAACCCAAGCGACCCAAAGAATCTCTCTCGTAATTTTCTTAATCCTTTTTGCTCTTTATTTGCGCTGGACACTATATAATTTACATTTTTTTTCTTATAATAGTGTGCGCACAAACGTGCCTTAAATAGTACTCGTAATCGATAGTAAAGGTGCCAGACTTTATGAGTGTTTTAAATAAACTACAGTATAGTTATCATAGTGCACTATAGTCAATTTTACTTTATGTTCACTTCGCTATCGCCCTTGAACATTTTGAAGTGTTATATAGATCGAAATTTGTTTCTTACAAACAACATTTTCAGCCATATAACAGTTCACTTAAAGACTGTTCCCTCGAGGAACAGTAAATTTTGCTTTCCTCGGGAACAGTTATTAAGTGTTTAATATTGTTNAACATTTTCAGCCATATAACAGTTCACTTAAAGACTGTTCCCTCGAGGAACAGTAAATTTTGCTTTCCTCGGGAACAGTTATTAAGTGTTTAATATTGTTGTATGATGCCAAAAATCACTAGAAGTCATAAACTATAACAAAAGGTATTGGATGAACATCAATAACACCCCACATCCGTTAGTAACTCTACTGCCTCGTACGCAGGCTTTTTTCAAGGTTCTGCATAGCGCAGTCCTGGGCCTGAGTGGAGAATAATGGGAACGAGCAATAGCAAGGAATGATGGGAAGGCAAAACATTTTTTTTCTTCCCTTTCCGTTTCCTCCTTTGTCGCGCTTTACTTGATAATCAAATAACTATCGCGAGCGACTGCTATCAAAAATTATAATATTTCTAAACAATTTAAGTTAATTAAGGTGTTTCGATGCAGTTTTCGGGAGACCATACCGATATTTTTCAATCGCCTTAACAGTTATTTAATATCCTTGTCCTTCACCAGTGATTGACTATAAAATGGAGTTTGTCAAAATGCAGTTTCAAGGCTAATCGATATCACCATGACGACAATTAACAAAAAGTCTGAAATCTATAAAGGCCGAACTTTGAGTGATCTAGACCTGCTACTGAAAATCCGACACAAGGAACGTAAGGTTTGGTGTTGAGCGAATAGCCTGCGTGAGAAATAAAACAATTGTGTACGTTTGAATTCAAATGAAAAGTTAGTATATATCACCAAATACATTTCAAACCAAACCCTTTGATATCCCTGATATGTTATTTGATTGAAAAGTTCTAAATAATAACCCAAATTAATGTTAAGTAGAATTCGCTGCTTAGAAACTTTGATGTATTTTCTTTCTTGCAATCCTGAAAACTAACCTGTTTTCTCAGTGCATCTCAGTGTGAATAAAACTGCATGGAAACACATTAAGTGATGAAAATGCAAAATGACATCAGATGAATATCTGATGGCATGGAATAAATACTGTGGCAAGTTATATTGGATAATTATCATAAAAGTACAAAATGTTGGGATAATGTATCGCAATTAACGTTGCTTACGTGTAGGAATTAATAAATTGTATTGAAATATGCGCTAAACTATATATCAAAAATCTAGTAACTACACCTACGTCAATGACAAACGCTATCAGGGAAAATTCTACCCTGAGATTTCAACCCTTTGCGTTACGTCTGCAAATATAGATGTAGAATGAGAGTTGACAAGAAGGCAATAAGAAACTTACCCTCAAAACGTGGGGCAGGAACGAGCGACGAAGCCCCAGAAACCATCCTATGCCCCTTTTTGAAGAGGCTTGACTATTGCACTTTGTAGGCTTATCTTTTTAATGTAGTGTATCGCTTCTTAAAGTGCCCATAAACTAAACGTATTTGTTTTAATTAAAAGTACCTATTACTACGAGAACATTTTTATTTTTTTAATAAAAGGACGCATTACTACGAGAGGGTCCCCGAAAAAATCACATGTTTTGCCATATGAGCAAAATGTGATGTTTTGAATGTGAACGTTCAAATTTACCGCTATTCTGGCACATCATGAATTAGTCTTCTTTCGGAAGCCCCCCGGAAACAAAGGAGCTGTGACGTAGATCAAACAAAACTGTGTCGTAAATAATTGAACACTTGACTTTAGATACAAGTAATCAAATGTAGAGTTCTCACAAGAAAAATTTCTTTCTTCAGGCGAAAACTGCTTTTAAAAAGGTAAAACATGCTAGTAGGATGCGTCGCAGGAAGATGCAATAACGTTGGCCATGGGGACTTTAAGAAAGCATGCACTCTCTGGCACACAGGGTTTCCATTGTATAGTTGTTTTTTACTTATGATTTATAGAACAGAATTATAGAACAGAATGTTCATTTTTTGTTTGTTTTCACATTTGTGAACATTTGTTTAGTTACTCGATCGATTACTGTGTTGTGATGAGCAGTGCATGCTCCATTTTAGCCTTGCTGGTGAAGTTGATCGGCGACAGTTGTCTTAGCAAGAAAAGTGTCTGGTTACGTGAAATACTAAATCCGGAGCCTGTAACCTAAACAGCCTCTTCTGACATCCATGTCCAAAACATAAGCTATAGGCAAGCATTTAATGAACCAATTCTTACTATACTGCAGATTTAGACAATTAAATTTTCAGAATTGGAAGGCTGACATTGAGCTTTTTGCTTTGAAGATTTCTTTTGACAACCTTACATTTCCTAATTCCAGAAATTAATTATGTTCCATTTATAAAAAAAGAGGAAAGAAAGAAAGAGAAACTAAATTGATTGGAAGTTTGGGTTATATTAAGTGCATCTCTTCGCTTTCAGTTGAACTCAGTTCGTGTTATATTGCATGGATGGGTCAAGATAAAACACCTCCACCTCATCAGGTGAGAAGTTCTGATCACCAGTCAACATCAGGTTTGCCGGATTGTTGTTCACTGAAGCTGGAATAGTGTAGAACCCGCCCAAGACTGCTTTTGAGTCCTGGACATACGAGACGTCAAGATAAATGATGAGGTCTTCACCAAACTTTGGACCATAAAATTTATCCCTCTCAATTGCATTTCTTGTATTATCTTCCTTCACTTTGCTCACAAACGGTGCCAGCCCTGCAGAACTGCTGAGAGAAAAGATAAACGCGTTGGGGGTTTTCGGCGTAGCCACCACTGGATTCTAACAAAACAAAACAAAAAAAGACATGAAATAAGAATTTCAAATAATAAAATATACTTCATGTTTTTTATATATATATATTTTGATTAACATATTTGTTACCATGTTATTTTCCTTTCAAACACAGTAAAATACCCTATTTGTACGATGACGTCATTTTTATTTGTTAATCTGATTATTGTTACTACATGAAATACGTTTATCGCAAAATAAGTAGGGTATTGAAGGTAAAAGTCGTACTTTTACTCAATTCATCATATTTAAAGAATATAAGTCTCTTTGCGGCGTTGTACAGTATTTGTATGAGGAGAATCGATCGCGATTTACCAACATTAAACCTTTTCTCACCCAGGATGAATAAACAACAGTAAACATTTTTCACATAGGATGAACGAACATTTTGGCCTTTGCACCCAAGTGGTAGTCGTATTGCTTGGCTGGTTTGGTTGCTTGGAAACCTTGATGCAACTCGACGCCACAGTCGATGACGTCAGTGGTTGACAGTCGCAGTGTCGTCATCGATTGTGGGGTCGAGTTGCATATAAAGCTGAGTCGTGTTTCTGCCTCGCTGTGCCGGCACATTCCACGCTAGCCTTCATAACTGGCACTTTATTCGCCAAGCGATACAAACGCGGCATTTTGCGCGAAGCGCGAGACGAGGTAAGAAGAAAAAATAAAGCGCCTAAAATAAAGTCCATTTTTCTGGCTCTTCCGCCCACCTACGCCTACAAATATTGACTGACAGCGGTGATGTTAAAAGGACGAATGAAAAGTTGATCCATTACTCCAAAATTGTCACCGTTTTGGCTACCAGAAACACCGACAGCAGCATAAACCTCAGGAAATAACAATTACGAGGGAATGAATCACCTTCAATACTGTAAGACAAAAATAAGGTTTGCTCAGTCAAAGTTTAGTTTATGTCCAAACACAGCGGCGAGAGGGAAGACCAACCTGTTGTTGCAACAAATTCCAAGGCCACGTTTTACATGATCACGAGCTTGTGAGTCGTGTTTGGCCTGTCAACGCCTAATTTCAAAAAGGTTAGTAAATCAGGCCGTATCCAAACCCAGATGGAAGCAATCCAAGAATATCATTCCTCTTAAACAATAAATCTTAAGATTTTTTTCCTTTAATTCTGGAACAATTTTGGAACTAAACGAAGAGCTTTTTCTACCAGCATCGTCAAAAAAACGTGACTACGTGACGGGCATTTTTTTCCAGACAAACATGCAGAATCACGCTAGAAAAACGCGCGTCATTAATTAACCAATTGGAGCGCGACGTTCATGGAGTGAACGGGGGAAAAGCTAAAAAAAAAAAAAATTATGCAAGTCCTATTTCCTGTGACTGTGAATGTCCTTGTTCCGGTTCACTGATTTTTGGCGGGCAAATCGTGCATATTAATGAGGGAAAAGGCGAAATAGGTCTCTTTTTACACAGCAAACAATGTTTTAGCTACCCCTCTCCTTTTCACAATTTTGTTATTTTCCTTCCTCAATTTTTTTATTCACATTTTTCCCTCCTCCTCCACCTCCTCATTTCTATTGTTTTCCCTCCTCCTCCTCCACCTCCTCATTTTTATTGTTTTCCCTCCTCCTCCTCCTCCTCCTCCTCCACCTCCTCATTTTTATTGTTTTCCCTCCTCTTCCTCCTCCTAACTTCTATTGTTTTCCATCCTCCTCCTCATTTTGATTGTTTTGATAAGGTCGATGTAGGGTCAATGTAGGGTCGATGTGGGGTCGATGTAGGGTCGATGTGGGGTCGATGTGGGGTCGATGTGGGGTCGATGTAAGGTCGATGTGGGGTCGATGTGGGGTCGATGTAGGGTCGTTATTGTTTTCCCTCCTTCTCCTCCTCCTCCTCCTCCTCCGCCACATTTCTATTGTTTTGCCACCTCCTCCTCCTCCTCCTTTCTGTTTTTTTCTCTCGGAAAGGCCAAAGAGGCCAAAACAAGGCCATCACATTTGCGTTTGTCCTTATAGGCCTGATTTTGGCCTCTTTGGCCTTTTCCAGAGAAAACAACAGAAAGGAGGAGGAGGAAGAGGAGGAGGGAAAACAATAGAAATGAGGAGGAGGAGGAGGAGGAGGAGGAGGAGAAGGAGGGAAAACAATAACAACCCTACATCGACCCCACATCGACTCTACATCGACCCTACATCGACCCTACATCGACCCCACATCGACCCTACATTGACCCTACATCGACCCTATCAAAACAATCAAAATAAGGAGGAGGAGGGAAAACAATAGAAGTGAGGAGGAGGAAGAGGAGGGAAAACAATAACAACCCTACATCGACCCCACATCGACTCTACATCGACCCTACATCGACCCTACATCGACCCCACATCGACCCTACATTGACCCTACATCGACCCTATCAAAACAATCAAAATAAGGAGGAGGAGGGAAAACAATAGAAGTGAGGAGGAGGAAGAGGAGGGAAAACAATAACAACCCTACATCGACCCCACATCGACTCTACATCGACCCTACATCGACCCTACATCGACCCCACATCGACCCTACATTGACCCTACATCGACCCTATCAAAACAATCAAAATAAGGAGGAGGAGGGAAAACAATAGAAGTGAGGAGGAGGAAGAGGAGGGAAAACAATTACAACCCTACATCGACCCCACATCGACTCTACATCGACCCTACATCGACCCTACATCGACCCCACATCGACCCTACATTGACCCTACATCGACCCTATCAAAACAATCAAAATAAGGAGGAGGAGGGAAAACAATAGAAGTGAGGAGGAGGAAGAGGAGGGAAAACAATTACAACCCTACATCGACCCCACATCGACTCTACATCGACCCTACATCGACCCTACATCGACCCCACATCGACCCTACATTGACCCTACATCGACCCTATCAAAACAATCAAAATAAGGAGGAGGAGGGAAAACAATAGAAGTGAGGAGGAGGAAGAGGAGGGAAAACAATTACGACCCTACATCGACCCCACATCGACTCTACATCGACCCTACATCGACCCTACATCGACCCCACATCGACCCTACATTGACCCTACATCGACCCTATCAAAACAATCAAAATAAGGAGGAGGAGGGAAAACAATAGAAGTGAGGAGGAGGAAGAGGAGGGAAAACAATAAAAATGAGGAGGAGGAGGAGGAGGAGGAGGAGGAGAAGGAGGAGGAGGAGGAGGGAAAACAATAAAAATGAGGAGGAGGAGGAGGAGGAGGGAAAAATGTGAATAAAAAAATTGAGGAAGGAAAATAACAAAATTGTGAAAAGGAGAGGGGTGAGTAAAACATTGTTTGCAGTGTAAAAAAAGAGCTATTTTGCCTTTCCCCTCATTAATATGCACGATTTGCCCGCCAAAAATCAATGAACCAGAACTAGGACATTCACAGCTGCAGGAAATAGGACTTGCATAATTACGTTACGTCTCAGTGATTTTAGGTCGCACAAAAAGTTTGACTTTTCTCCTCAGACACTATGAATTAACCAATGACAACGTTTCTTATTTCCTTAGTAACCAATCGAAAACGAAGACGTTTATCGACCTTAAAGTAACTAGAAACCCTAAGCAAACTAAAAATAGCACACGACCTTATCTTAATGAGATTCCTGCGCATTTAACTCATGAGATAGAGACAAAAGGTTATGACGTCATCGGCGTTAATTGATTCCTGCCCAAGTTAATGAGACTCCTGCGCATTTTATTCATGAGATCAAGACAAAAGGTTATGACGTCATTGGCGTTAATTTATTTCTGCCCAAGTTAATGAAATTCCTGCCCAAAAAACCGGAGTAACCGGTGCGCCCTATACTACTTAATGCGCCTGTTATGCAGGCTAATTCGACACGCAATACGAATTTCGACTACAAAATTATCTCGCTCCGTGGGTGGCCTTACGGCTGCTCTCTTCCCAAGGAGTCATTGAGGTAATAGCCTGTTCCAGGTTCCGAGATAGTCGGGTCTGCTGAATTGAGAAAGCGCAAACACCAAAAAACAACGGGAAAAAACTGGGGAGAGAATGTCGAAATGAAGACCCCTCCAGAGCATAATCTACAAGTAAGAAAAAATACTCACTGGAACAAGGAGCATTTTGGCACAAGGTAATTGTCGTGTGTTGCCTACCGACCCGCTTTTTGCACTCCAGATTGTTCTGACTCGCATAAGGGTAAGCGCCCGGCGAGCGAAATAATCTCGCGAGAAAAATTCCAACTCATTGACATTTCAACAGTTTGACAGCCGAAATCTAATTTTCTCAAACGTGCCAAAAGTGGGCGGAAAGGGGTCGTAAAATAAATGATTACAGGCTCTCTCTTCCTTCCTTTTCCTCTTTTTCGCCCCGCCAACTTTTCGTGTGCCTTTTTCTTTCGCGTCTTCCCCGCTATCTGAGAGCCTGGAACAGGCTATTGAGGTAAAGGTCTTTTAATTAAACGTCATGAGAATTTACTTGTCAAACCCCTGATTTGGCAATCTCATTTGTTACATGCAATAACACTTGGACATTGCCGATTCATCAAAGCTATGAACTTTTTCCATCAAACTTAGACAAGATTAGATTTTATAAATTTTTTCACCGTTTTGAGGGGACGGACGTATATTCCCTTCCTGTTTTTGAATTTATAATGTAATCGGTTTATTTCAAAGAGCCACATAAAGACAAGGAATACAATTGACCGACATCATGCAGAGCGGGGGCAGCTCAGTGTAGTGTCAACTACAGGGGTATTACGAGTATAAAGTAAACAGCGTATTAGACTACGACTAGAGAGGATAAAGGGGACAGAGAAGGCATCCCCCATACACACCCTATTCTATAGGTAATTCGTCTCGAGTTATTTTTAGAATAGGGATAAAGTTACCTCCCGCGCTGCGTGGATGTTTCGTGGAGGTTTCGCATGACTAAACGCCATGCAAAACATGTCGGGCGAAAGGCAATGAAAGCGTAAAGAGATCGAGAGCATTTCTGAATATTGAAGCGAAATGAGCCGGCGCTCACCTGGGAAAAGGGAATCGCTCGACTCTTTGACAACCCGTGAAATCAGTTTAACTCGAAGTTATCGTAACCTCAGTGCTTTAATAAAATGAGAAATTCCGCCAGTCTATAGAAACCGGTCGCTTGTACAATAAAGCAAGTAGCAAATAATATTCATGTTTATGTAATTAGTTTTACAAATTTGAATTTTATTGTAGTTTTCTTAAGTTGTTTTAAGCGCTGTTGATCACTGAATGTAAGTAGCGCTCTAGAAGTTATTAAATTATTATTATTATAGGACGCGAAGTGTTATTTTTGTTGAATAACAAAAGACTAAGAAAAGAATAAATATCAAACCAGAAATTGCTCTCTTGAAACTGTAAATTATAAATGATCCTGAGAGAATATTCACTGTGTTAAGGATTTCCCTGCTGTACTGTTAGCTCTATACAAGAGAGGAAGGGCGATTCTTTTTTAATTTCCGTTTCGCTGACACAGCTTTAGCAGAAATCTCTCTTTAGTCGTTTTCGTCGACAAAACGAATAGCAATATTGCTCTCCGCGTCTACCGCCATTTTTTTCTGCCTCAATTCGTGAAGGACGCGTGGCTCTGAGCGTGGGTCATCCACGCTGAAATCATTCGCGTTATGTGATTGGCTGTTGTCTAATCCCCCTTGGGATCTGTGGTCTTAAAAATAACTCGAGACGAATTACCTATGGAATAGGGTGTGTATGGAGGATGCCTTCTCTGTCCCTTTTATCCTCTCTTGACTACGAGCAGTCTCGCGTTTTTCTGTAGTCCGTCGAGCAAAACGCGAGACACGCAAATGGCCACACGCGCGTGCACTCCCCTTACTAAACCGGAAGAAAAAGAGACTGCTTGCAGTCTAACAGCGTATATAAGTCGACGTCCTTGATGCAAATGCTCTTTTAAAGGGACTGTACAATGTTAGCAGGAGAGGGAGTTAAAACCAGAAGGGGGCACCTGGCAAATTCATAGCAAATATCAGTTTTTTTTTTTTTAAAAAAAAAGGGGGGGTTGTATCTCATTTTTTTGTGGGTTAGCTGTCTCACTAAAGGTGATGTTACACGAGACGATTCGCAACGACGATTTGTAGCGCAACACAGCTTTGCAACATTGTTGCAACATTGTTTCGAATAGTGACAACATTGTTTCAACATTGCAACGCTGTGTTTCGCTAAAAATCGTCCCGTGTACAATCACCTTAACAATAATACTCAGTCTGAAGGTGATTTGATATGAACGAAACATGAATTATTTGTGATCAAGATATTACAAAGAACTATCAATAATTAGTACCAAAGCCATGAACAATCCTATTTACATGATATTAATTTAGCTTATTTCTACTTAACAGAACGTGGGTGTATCCAATGTTTTAAAAAGGGGGTGTCCCTTCTCTAGGTGCCAGGTGAGCTTCAGCAAACATGAAAATTGTGTGAATAGCGGCATGCAATGATAACTCCCCTGATAAATCACATGACGAAAGCATGACGATAAAAGAGGTCGAGGAGGGAAAGGGAGACTAGTAGCTCGCGTTCTGAGTTTTGTTCGTACTAGTCATGACTCAACCAGGGCCTTTCTTTATGATATTCTTGCGATGAAATATAATTTTATCCAGAGGGGAGGAAGCAATACTACTAATTGCTTCATGTTAGTGGAAACCAGGGGATTTAACGCTCCAACCTCGGATGGGCCCTTGGGCTCGAATGCAAAATCTATCTTTCTACTTTAAGAATTAGGCCGGGCATTTATACGGGGCGCCGTTTTAAAATTAATGTAGCTCCGTTGCGAGAAAAAAAAAATTGAAAATATAATGTAGCTGTCAAAAATGGATTTCAGTTGAATCTATACTTAGAATGTCGTCAATGGTGAAACGTAGAGAGCTTAAGTATAATGTAAAAGGCGTATGTCTCGGGCAAATAATTCCTCGTTCGAGCAATCGTATTTCTCGCTCGATCTCTATTAAAGCATTAGCCTACTGTAAACTACAATGCGAGTACTATTATTGGAATCATTTTGCGGTTATGAGGAACAACTTTAGGTTAAGGTGTCAGTGAAATACCCGTGGCACTAAAGCCCTTTTAAAGGTAACAAAACATTAATATCAAATCTTACTCCAGGGAATGTCAGTGTATCCTCCAAAGACGTATGATCCTTTTTTTATGATGGTGACAGTATTGTTTTTATGATCACATTTTTGGTGGAAGATTGTTTCACTCCAACCATGTGAGGAAGCACGGTAGCAAAGAAGCCAGGAAGAATCCTCCCCAACCTCAGGAGCGCTAGCAAGAAAACGATGAAGATGTCGGAGATAATCCTGATTTCCATGTAGTATTGTTGAGTTTATTAAAAATTCTGAAAATTGAAACACATGGATGATACTAAAAGGTTAATTTGGATGAGAGACTATCACGGTCAGGGAATCTATCCTTATATCTGCATACCTTGCCACAGCCTCATTTTACTCATGTCCTGTTTGTAGATTAGATAAAAAGACAGATAGGTGGTATAACGAGTGGACGACGAATGAATGGATGGCTGGATGGATGACTAATATCTTTTTTCCAAAAAGGCAACGTGCATGCATGCATACTAGAATGATAATGAACAAAATGAAAGCGGAAGATAACATTAAAAACAAAACCAGTCAAACAAACAAAAAAAGACCATTAACTCCATAACAAACAGGTATAGCAGCAAAGCCACGCGACAATTCCGAAATGAGCGAGAACGTGAAAGTGAGTAATAGCACGGTTCTGCTAAGGTATATCTCTTCTTTTCTCTTGTTCTCTTTGCTCAAACGCGAGGTAAAACCAGAAACTCATAAGGGTTTCTGGTAAAACTGAATACATTTTTTTTATGGGATAATCGTGGACGCACGGATGAAATAAAGGGTTTGGCAGACTGATAGGTAGATTAATACCAATCCTTTTTAGGGTAATTCAAAGACTATTGGACATCGCGGTAAAAGTGTCTTTAAGAGACCTCAGGCATTTCCATTCGCTGAATGATTTGCGTCTCAACCATGCATCACCTAGAGCACTACCAGTTTTGTATAATTGTTGGTTTTTGTTTTGGAACAGAGCTACACTTGTAGATGCATGCATCTACATTTCGAATAATCCCGTGATTCAGCGCTTGTCGTACAAATTCTACACAAGTCATACAATTTTGTCCCGTGTTAGTAATGTCGTCATCTGCGGTTATAGTTTATATGAACTGATGTGGTGTCCACGCCAAGAAGAGCTTCTGCATTTATCAATCCACAACCTGACTTGGCAGGAATCGAATACTGGTCGTATTATGAACCACAAAATTTCCATCCAAGGTAAAATTGTGCAAGAGCTGTTTGAAAACGAGCAACTGTTTTGTTGTGTTACTGAGAATGACTTCAGAATTTTTCCACCTTCTTAGCCACCTTCTTGGACTTGAAAAAGGCTGTTCCGGATCTCTTTTTTTTTTTTTCATTTAACCGTTTAAACCCTCGTCTAATTTCTCCTTCTAATTGCGATGCTTTGTAAAAGAGAGTCGTAATGAGAATTAAGGACATCATCATAATAATAATAATAATAATAATAATAATAATAATAATAATAATAATAACGGTTTAATATCAGTACATCTATGGTATGGCTCTAACGGCTTGGAAACTAAAATTTCGAGGACGTTTTTGGACTTTTTACATTTAGGGCATGAATTTTTCGTCATTTCAGGCCATGGAACCTAAAAATGAGCCTAGCTAACTGTAAAAAGGGGCAATACGGAGGCAATACGTCCTAGCCGGCATGATCACATGCTGTTTACGGAAAATTCCCTCATCCATGTCAGGAAATTCTGTATTTTAAAGCCTCCCCTAGGGCATGACTCAGCAATTGAGGACATTTCTGCTACGTTTTCAATGTTGGTTAGCATGCAAGGATTTTTCCCATGCCTATCGTCAATGATTTGCTCACTGGTAATAGAGGGGGTGGCCCCAGAGTGGTTTTGCATTGAAATTGGCATGCAACAGAATTTCGCATGCCCTGTAAGCATAATTTGAGGTTCTGTGACCTTCTCACCCAGGCCGCGAGAAGCCTAGGTTCTAGTAATAAGTAATTCATACCCAGCAAAATCCCCGGCATGCCGGGCATGCCAAATTTTCTGACATGCCCGGCATGCTAAATTCTCTGGAATGCCGGGCGTGCCATAATCTGGGTCATGCCGGGCATGCCAAAATCGGTCTCTGGCATGTTTCAACGCACAGGTTATAATTCCTTGAATCTACAGATATTTTAAGCCTGGCTAAAAAAAAAAAAAAAAAAACAGATCACAGTGCTTATCTTTTGATGTACGGTTACACGATGACGTCATTGCTATTCCTTTCATTTTCATAGATTTGGTTGTCCCAGCGAAGTTTAAATAACAAAAGCTCTAATTTTCACAAGAAAGTAAAACCCTGAGGGATTCTGCCGAAGTAATAAAACAGCGTCATCGTGGAGATGACCTGTTGGGGGATTGTAAAAACTCCTCACCCCTTTTAATGAGTCTTTAATAGGATTCCCATTTCACATTGCGAATAAAATGGAATTGACTGAAATCAGTAAAAAGAGAGACAGAGACTATTTTCATTGTATAATAAAATGCATCTATGTTCCATGAAAGCTTTTAAAAATACAAGGTTATAGAATATCTTTCAAAGTTCATTACAAACTGAGCTAAGCCCCAAAATCACTGTTCATTATTCAGTAAATTATGATGTTTGACAATGCAATGTGCTTGAATATAACGTTGCAATTACAAATCTCTCGAACGCAATTTTCCCTACGTTAGAAAAGCTCTTTTTATCTTGTTTCACATTTTGATAAGGAGTCTGAGTTCCTCTTTCTTGTTTTGTAGGCTTGCCAGGGATTAATGTTTTTTTGTCATTACCAGTGTCTGTGTTCTTCGTTTTTAACTCAAAGTAAGTCAGTAATAACTGACGGTATCAAAGGATTGCTCTCTAGAAAAGTAATTATCTCCTCGTCATGTCTGGAAGTTACCTGTAACAAAAAAGAAATGGAATCTTAACACATGCAAGGGCAATATGAAAAAAAGAAATAGAACATGTAGAGCTCAGCTTCTCTTAACATATTTTCATACTGGCTTGTTGAGTCTGTTAAAGGTCGCAACTAATTGTCTGAGGCTAATTTCACAAGAGTGTGCAATTGAGATAAATACATGGTAAATAAAGTGAAAGAAACGTGGTTTCACATTAGCCAATTTACATTGCGCTGTTCGATGATGTTTACACGCTTTTCTACTGCGAAATAAACCTTTGCATTTGGATTTGCAAGTCAAGATTATACCGAGTTTGACTGACACTTAATTGAACAACAGTTTCATTTTTAAGCAGGCAATTGGGGTGTAGACCCATATAAAGCCGGAATATGTAAAGGAAACTCAGCGAAAACTTTTTCGCATCTTTTTGTGGCGATATTCTTTCACGGCCCGTCAACTGATTAGGGGTTGCGAAGAAAAAATAAATTAGGACCAAAGGTTAAAGCCTGTCCGGTTACATCATTTCGTATGTTACCTAGAGTTCTAATAAATAGGTCATAAAATAGGATTTAACGAGAGCGAATTTGTTTCTCAATCGGTGTATAAAAAAGTGAGGCTATCAAATGAGAAGTTTATAGAGTATCAAAATTATTAAATTAAAAGCTCATTTAATTAGGAAAATTCCTATACGAAAACAATGCTAGTGACATTAAATTGATCAGATAAAATTCTCAGAAAATATGTCCAATAAAAGCCTCATTATTTGCTTTTGTTTTTGCGTAAAGGTAAATTTTTCGGCCCACAAAGCAAAGTTGAAAAAGCGACTAAATCTTAGTTTTTTACATTGAACATGTTTATTAGCTTAGTTTTCGTCCGTTTTAAAAGCTTTATAACCCAATCATAATTTTCGGGTTAAAATATTACAAAATCATTTCAAAAACCATGTTCATTTAAAGTAGAGCCGGCAAACCTGAACATTTTGTAATTCAAAAGTCGGACCCAGCCAGGTTGTTTAAGCTTAGAATTATTTGCATTTTAGCGTCCTATAAATTTACCAGAATCGCCTCTCAGAGGCTTACTGTAGCAAAGCATTTTGTAGTACACTCGTAGACAAGCAATGTAAGCCTTAAGTCTTTGCTTGGATGAGATGTCCAAAAGAAAAATTAGTTTTGTGGACCTAAACGCACATTCACAGACTGCTTATATTGAGTTGTTTACAACTTTGCATTGACACGCGCAGCATGTTCATTTTTTTAAAGCGAAATCCAAATCTGATTTTGGCATTTGATTTACGGATATTTTATTTTGTCTCCAAAAGTGATTGTAATATCCGTTTGATTGTCTTTCAAACAACAGTCAAACTATGCAGCAAAAATAAGTAACTTTACCAGTACAGTGGAAAAATATGACCGTAGGTGCCAAAAATAATTATACTCGAGCTATAAAATTAGAACTGACTTTTTTTAGCTTTGGTTTCTTATTTTTGAAGTTTTCTCTAGTCTTCTTAGCAGCAGAAGAAGATTACAAGACATACAAACAGAAACAATCCGAAGTGAACAAGTTGACAACCACTTATGCCGGAGTTCTTAGGCATGCTCAACAGCAAGATAAACTGAATGCCAAAAGGATAATTCACGGGATTTGTTCGATATTCAGGCTTTTTCTTTACCAAATTAATACTAAATTTGTACTTACAGTCTCTCGCAGAATCCATTTCTTGTCCAGCATTCACCAACATCTCAACCATGCACCGCAGAAAAAAAAGACAAACAAGTGCGAAGAGACATGACGACATCGTGACGCCACAACTGCCACGCTACAACAAACTAGATTCCTCGTCATCCGCGAAAACACTTCTGCGGAAATTCGGCCGATTTCGTGCGTGCTCGGGGTATCTTCGGATGACGCAGATGACGTTGCTCAAAGGACTATCGTCAGCAAGGAGTAAAACAGTTTGCGAGATTCGCATAGCCGACAAGGAGCGCACTGAAAAACTAAGCAAAATCTCTCTGAGAAGGCAGTCCAAATTCACCAAATCAGAACGTCTTTGCAGTATTAACGTCGTACTCTCGTACTGACTTGAACGACCTGGTAAGCTTCATTTTCACCAGTCTTTTAATGCTGTTGACCGGGAAACATTCCGACACGATAAAACTTAAGCATGGATAAGTTTATACTGAGAAGATTTGTTATCTTATTGTTTAAGACGCTTTTCCGCGATCAAATTTAAATGTGGACCCAGAAATGTCAGTATCGGTTTGAAATAAAAGGATTAATCTTTGACTGCAAGTTAAGTACTCTATTTTATGTATGAATAATGTTGTTTTGTTGTGCTTTTTATTTATAAATCCAGGTTTCTGTCTTCAGTTTTGCCAGTCGATCCCGTGACACACATTGTGACAAACATGACTTTTTTTGTTATAATCTGCATTTATTGCCAGGCATGAAACCTGTAACTTCAAGCTCCCTAAGATATATTTGGCGATTATATGTGATTCTCAGGATATGATGCTGAAGCGAACATCAAAATCAGTCTCGCTGGGCATGTCAATTTCTTGCCTGGTATGTCGGGCATGCCAAACCACTTGGCTTCACCATCGGCATGCCCGGCATGCCAAACCAGAGGAGCTAAAACTGGGAATGAATTATTAACCCGGCGAGAGATCTGAGACCTAAGTTTAGCTGGGTCAATTTTGGGCTGCGAGGGCATGAACCCATTCTTGAATTTTGTCATGCCTAAATATATAAAATTTTCCCTCTCTCATTAATCCTCAGACTGGATGCGATTTTTACGCTTGGTAGGCATGTTCAACTGAAAATCATGCCCATACCCTTATTCAAAACAAAATGCTATCAAATTTTAGTTTCCAAGCCGTTCTCTTCGCCTGATATAAAGGTAAAATGAGGAAATTAACATAAATCTGAATTATGAATTTGTAAAAAGCTAGGTAATAAACAGTAAAATGTAATTATACAATATATACATACATTATCTAAAACTAGGCAAGAAATCATTCCTCCCTATTCTGGCAGCGCTCCCTTAAAATACATAATGTTTGCTTACTGAAGGATTTAAAATTATCACAACATTTAACTTTGGATGGCAGAGAATTGAAGAGGGCTGCCGCGCTACACTGAAAAGTGTCCGAGGCGTGGGAACTAGATTTATGGTACTTGATGACCGTAAATTTCTAGCATGTCTTACTTGCTCAAGCGGAAGGTTTCTGGGCCAATCATGAGAGCATATAGCTTTGTGCGCGGTCTTTAGAAAGTGCCATTCTCTACGTTCCTTCACAGGCAACCAGCCTAACTTAAAGGGACTGTGTCACGATTGTGCACATGTGTGAGCTGTGACAGTAGCTGATTGTCTCTGAACCAATCGGACGCGAGTAAGCTGCACGCGAGGAAATTTACATAATTTAAGATTCATTGTTCGCGAAGTGGGAGTCTTCCGGACGTTTATGTTCGATTTTATATATATCCCCATAATTCATATTTATTCTCCGGTATTCCTCAGATAAATAGTGCACATGATAAGAATAAGATTAACAACCCTGTCCTGCTTTGAAACAAACATTTACCTACGTGTATTTTTACGTACCCACGCTAGAAAACCAGTCTCCGATCCGCAAACAAAAATAATTTGTAAACAAACCTTACTGATCTCTCTGTTTACTCTATATAAACTTAGAAATACCTGCAAATGGCTCCTGACCGGTGATCAAAACACACAGTATAGGATGAGGCAAACGTTTTGCTTAAAATTCCAGCTAAATGCCGGCCATAATAAAATATGCCATGCCATGCGGTCGGCTAGCTCAGTCGATTGATACCGGCTGAAAATCGTAGCATCGTTTGAAAGCAATTCTTAGCGCTTCATCATAAAACGCTTTCATTGCAATAGTAGCCACATAACGTATAAGTATGAAGATTATTCTAAAAGAACAACGTAAAAAAAGGAATAAACAGGAGCCCATTACTATGGCATAAATTTCAACTGCTTATCAGCAAATAACAAAATTCCTTCCGAGTCGTTGCGTTGCGTGTTCCGCAAAACAAACGTTATCGATTCAACACATAAAGAAACCGGATGTTCAACGGAACATCCAGGGAACAACTTATTTTTAAAAGATCAACTCTTAAACATCTACGCTCATACAGAAAAAAAAAGGAACATTCCCAGTGAACTACATCAGTAAAGATCGCGCGGCCTGTTGTCAGTACTTTCTACTGTACAACTAC